ACTTTGCATCAGACTCACCGAAAACACACAGAGATAAGCAGAGAAGCACGCAGTAAGTCGTGGACAAGCAATCTACTTACGTTATGTTTGTAATCAAGCACTGACTCGCTCCTGAATATGTAGTAGCTGTCGAGCTGTCGCCGGACGCGCAACCAATTTCTAAAAGCATGTTCTGGTAAACCAGCGTGCCGCAAACTCATCATTCAAAAACGGAAACAGATAAACAAAGGAACACGACGGAGTGAAGGGGGCTCCAACTCAATCCAGGAGATGCAGCGCTGAATGCAGATAGGTTTTTGAATGCCAAGGAGATGCTTTGACACACACTGAGGACCTTGAGTGGGAAGACTTGTGCTGCAAGTCGTGGATGGAGCATGTGCATACTACAAGGTGGGAATGGGAGTAACTCGGTGCTCATCCACTCCGCTGGTTTGGCTCCCGCAGTGCAACGCCGATGCAACCATTGGCGGTGAAGCGGCGCGTCCTCTTAGGTGCCACACGCTTCCTATAAATATCTTTTAATCCCCCTTACTACAAATCTCCAATATATCTAATAAACAAAAAAAAATTCTCCTTGCTTAACTGACCTCCGAATTTCTGCTTGAGTCTAACCATCTCATAGAAATCAAGGAGCACATGGTGTCTTAGCCCCGGTACAGAGGCTCCCGACTATATCCAGCCTTCAGTTGCCCATTATCTTGCCTTTGTCCACTTAGGAGCTGGTTCTCACTCCGGACCAAGCACGCCAGCTTGAGAAGAACAGCCGGCAGCAGTCAAAGAGCGCTACATGGAAGGCTGCTCGCACCAACAGACTCACAGCGTCCACCTTTGGAGCAGTCCTGATTAGAGAATCGTGGACTGATGTCGGGCTTCGGAACCTCACTGAAGAGAAGGACTTGTCTCGAGTCAGGGCAGTCAAGTGAGTGCTTAACTTTTCTATGCAATGTAACTCTTTTAGAAGGTACATTACCCAGATATTTTGGTCTTCCTCAGAGGAGAGTAGCTTGGCTATGCATGCATGCAAAAATTCTCGCATTGAATCAAAGCTTTTATTTGGTTCGTTCAGTAGCAGCTTCCTCGATTCCAAAGGAGCGTCTACTGAGTGATCCAAACGGCAGATGGAGCTCTCAAACGGTGACTCTAGATATCAATGTTGATGTTCGAAGCTATTAAGCTGTACCAGGGCCTGCAAAAACACTGCAACCGGCAGAGTGCAAAACCTACCAACTTGTCGATCAACAGAGCGGAGATTAACACTAACGGTCCTATAGACTAATTCATGTTCACAAACAAACCAAAGCGCCCCTAGCGGATGCCACCGGTGCCGCACATGCGCAGTGGAGTGTGAGCAAGAAGCATGCCGTCCCATAAACAAACCATTTGCTATATAAGGTTGTCGGTGTCAGTGTGAGTCCCCATGCTGTTTCTCAAGCGTTGGAATTGTTGATTCTACGTCTTCCTGGCAATGTCTGACTACTTGACGGCCTCAGTGAAATTACCGAGGCTCATTACACTGCAAAACTTTGCATGAATATTGCGACATGCGGCGATTCATTCTGTGTGGACGCCGCCGACTGTAATGTATGCCTTGGAGTGCCACTTACTTGACCAAGATAGAGCATGCTGCTTTGTCGCCACAAATCATTTGTCCGAATGCCTGCGAAACCGTGACACCGTTCGGCATATCCAACGCTGCGGCGCCTGACAACTGCACGCAGCGGCGCGCAGTTGTCAGCACTTGGAAAAGGCTGTTTGCAACTGACAACCGCTTAGCAGATAGATTAAGAAGGAATACCATAAGCACATACATAGGTTGCATTGACGTCACGTCGCATATTTTTGGCCTCCATGTAAGAGGAGGAGAGGGAAGCTGCTTTTGTAAGAATTTTGAGTGACGGGCTAATCTTCTATAATTTTCTGGGGGGAGAATAGCGACGACTGTGCAAATCCGGGAGGCACAAAAGGGAGCCCTGATAAGAGCGGAGCTTCTTCTTGCCCTCCTCTCTGGTGATCATCGTAGCACCCTTTGAATGACGTCACGTGCAACCAATGTATACAAGCCGCGACTCTGGGCCACCGGCGCGTGCGAAGGGCTCGCGCCGCAACGCACAGTTGTCAGGCGCCGCAGCGTTGCATGTGCGTCAGCTTCGCAAACATTCGGACAAATGATTCGCGGCAGCAAAGCGGCGTGCTGTATGTTGGTCAAGTAAGCGGCACTCGAAGGCATACACTACAGTGCAAGTCAACGAAGCAAGTGCGGGCGGCCAAATCACAGCGCACTCGGCTCTCGCGTCGCGATTGTTGATTCAGAGCTCCGCCTAGCCCTATGACATGTGCGCGGGTATTCTTAAACGGCTCGTCTCGACTGCGCGTGGGTCAAATTGAACCAAAATGAACAGCTAACAGCGCGACAGGAATCGGTAGCAACGGCGAGGGACAGCTTCTCTCACAATTCCTCGCGTGCGGGCCGGGGTGCTTGGGGGATTTTGCAAAAGGTCTATTCAGTGCACATTGTTTATTTGCAATGTCAATTCATGTTGTCATGGCAAGCGAAATGACCCGAAGAAAGACGACAGAAGCTGACGGTACCTTGCCGGCTCTCCTTCGTAATCGCTGTCTAGGCTTAAGTGACCCTGTGAAGGCTATCTTCAGCTCTTTAGGCCATCAGGGTAGGCACAAAAAGACATTGTAAAACCTTTGTCACACTTCAATGATTCACAATAAGGCTATGAAGGATCATGTGCAACATTTGACAAATATAAGTCACGTCTAAATAAAAATTGGCCTTGTCATTGCCTCCCCCACTCCTTCCGCATTTGCGACGCGGCAAATGCTTAAGCCTAACCGCAATGCGTTGACAAGAAAGGCACTCTCCCACAAGTTCACCTAACCTGATACACCACTGCAGTAAATCGTTGCCAAACTTGTTCATCTCGATTAAACGAGTTGCAGAACACATGCCCTCACTCGTCACGACCACAGTCTGCACGAGAATCCAGTCCGTTCAGTTTCGGCGCCTAGTTATGTTTGGTGTCCGGTTGCCTTTGGCGTCTCGTATGACATTTGGCATTTCATATAGCGTTCGGCATTTGTGCATCTGTCACACTTCCATGCCCTAATAGCCGAGAGGTCAACCTGCGAGCTGGTAGGATCATTTGGCAGTTCCGAAAACAAACAGTAGAATGTAGCCATCAAAGAGAGGATTAGCAGATGATCATAAAATGAAACATAAAGAGCCGTTGAATATTTTCCAAAACAGTCGGAACCCAGACCTGTAATGTTTTGTCCTGCCATCTTCTGTAACAGTGCTGGTCGTGCCCTTTGCCTATAATCTTTTTTTTTTTTTTATCTTTTTTCAGGGGAGCAGGGATTGTTTATTTTCTATTCTCTCTCTTGGGAGTGAAGATTCCTGATAACAGCATTTTTGCTGTACTTGTTTATTTCAGGCATGGTATCCCCCAGGAGCCCCATGCCGTGATGCACTATGAAAAGACTCTGCGGTCTCGTGGTCACCAGATCCAGACTACCTGCTGTGGCCTCATGGTGAACCCCTCTTCGCCATGGTTGGGAGCGTCCCCAGACAGGCGCGTTTTTGATCCAGCCGAGACACCTCCTCACGGGGTTGTCGAGGTCAAGTGCCCTTACACTATGTGGAACTGCGCCACTCCCGACTCTAAGAGCTTTTTTGTAGTAAAGGATGCCGCAGGTGTGTACAGGCTAAAGCGTGACCATAGCCATTACTACCAGCTATTGGGACAGATGGCCCTTTCTGGCGTTACCTGGGGAGATTTTGTGGTATATTGTCAGAACTTCTTGATCATAGAACGGATTCGATTTTGCCCTTCTAGTTGGATTAAGTGCAAGGAGGTGCTCGACAAGTTTTATTTTGAGACTCTACTACCCTATCAAGTGGGTAGGTCAGACCAGAGAGAACCTCGACCTGGTCAAGAGGGTGCTAGTTAAGTTACAAGAATAACTGACAGAAAGCAAAAAAAGTATGGTGCAGAATAGGCTATGCTTGCTACCGACAGAAGAAGCATTTATTAACGAAACTCGACGGTTGGAGAGCCTTTGGCCATGGCATAACTGTCCATGCAACCGTTGGGGCTTGTCGGCGATTGTTTACACTGCCAGTTGGGTACACGCCCCAACCTGCTTTGGTAATTTTTGGTACCTTTCTTAGTGTATTTCCGAGAACACTGTGTACTGTTGTCGAGACCATGAGGTTTCATTAATTTCGCATCGATTTAAACTACAAAAATATTGGACAGTAACTAAAAAGAATCTAATACAGGATAAGAGATTGTTCCAACTTGCAACATGGGCATTTATTGACAAACTATGACAGTTGCAGAGCCTTTCCTTATTGCATAACTGTCCAATCAACCGTTGGGGCTTGTCGGTGAATGTTTCCATTGCCAGTTGAGTACACGCCTCGACCTGCCTTGGTCATCTTTGCTACCTTTCTTAGTGTTTTTTTCGAGAACATTGTTTGTTTGTTATCGAGATCATGAGCGTTCATTCATTTCGCATCGATTTAGCCTACAAAAATATCGGACAGTAACTAAAAAAAAACTAATAGAGAATAAGAGTGTTCCAACTTGCAACACGGGCATTTAATGACAAGCTACGGCAGTTGCAGAGCCTTTCCCCTTTGCGTAACTGTCAGTGCAGCTGTTAGGCTTGTCGGCGAATGTTTGCACTGCCAGTTGGGTACACGCCTTGACCTGCCTTGGTCATTTTCCTTGCTTAGTTTATTTTCAAGAACACTGTTTGCACTGTTGTCGAGACCATGAGCCTTCATATTGTTTGCTTTGATCTTGTTTGATTTAGGGAACTGTTAGCAGTGTATAACGTAATGTGCACCAGCCCAGCTGTATAAATTTTGTGAATTATTAGCAGTGCAGCCTTTGTAAATAAAGTTATATAGGGAGGTATAAGTCTACCTCATTTTTTTTGTTTTGTTTAGTTGAAACTTGAAACGGCAGAGGAATAAAGCATGAAGGCACGCTGTTTCAGTGCATACCTTGCATTCAAATACTGTCTCTTTATTCATGACAAAAGACTATTCACAAAGTGGCAAAGCATTTACCTCACACTGACATTTACTTACTGAGGGTAGACAAATCACTGTAGAAAGAGGAGCTTTTTCTAAGAGAGCCAAATGCTTTAGTCATCGGAGGCTTTCATCAGAGGACTTTGGAAGTTGGTGAGAGCCACGCAAATCGCCCACATTTCGCTGACAACTGGAGCAAGTGAAATCTGAACCGGCCGGTCAAATATGTGGAAATTCTTAATCCTTTGAATTCGTCGTTCCACGTGAATGCGGAGAGAAGCGATCTGTTCTGTCTCCTTTACCTCTTCAGTCGTAACGTAACCTTTACGAAGGAATGGGGGTATATTCAGTCGAACATTGATTTTTTTCAGCATCTCCTCTATCCTAAAACCCTTATCAGCCATCACTGAGTCGCCGTCATCAAAGGGCAGCTTGAGGAAACCACTTTTTTCTACACATTCCTTGTCTGACATTGAACCAGTGAACAGCTCAGATATGAATGTTACTGTCCCATCGGGAGAAATGCCGATCAACCCCTTAAACTTGTTTGTAGATTTATATGGAGAAAAAGTAGCCGACTGCAGCACGAGCGAGCTGGAGGCTTCGCACTTTACCTCGGTTGCATCTAAGATGACCCTTGTCGTTGGGTAGCGATCTTTAAATGCAGGTGGCATTGCGTCATCCACAGCCTCCCTTGGCAGCCACAGGTGCAGCTGACCAAGGTGTAGATACACATAGCTTATCCACGTTATACACACCTTTGACACTGTAGCCTTAGAAACTCGAAAGCGGTAAGCAAGATCTCTTTCAAAGAGTCCAAGACGGAGGCGGACGAGTAGCAAAAAGAACTGCTCAGCGGGAGACAAAATCGAGCGCCTTCCGGCTTTTCTGGCTTTGTCACTGTAGGTGGTGGACCAAACTTTTACATTCTCGCCGTCCTCACCTGGGTCTAAGAACCTTAAAAGACGCATGAAGTGATCATGGCTTGGAAGGCCGGTGTAGAAGAGTACATCAGCTGGGCTGTCCTTAAAACAATCGATGCAAAATCTGCGACTTGATTTTGCCTCTAGTGTTTTACACTGTTGTAGCGCAAGCTCAAGCTCTCTTCGGCACTTACACAGCGCATGCTTAGTTTCTTTAAGTTCTGCTTCATGTTTCTCTAAAGAGCTACACTTGGCGAGAGCGGCCTGAAGCTCTGCTTGGGCATGATGCAGGGTGTCTTCTGCTTGTGTTAACTGGTCTTTGCACCTGTTCAGTTGAATCTGCAAGTTTTTGATAACCTGTGCTTGGGATGCAGCCTGTTCCTCCAGCCGTCGTAATTCAGTGATGGGCACCAACTCAACTATGGTGTAATCTGTAGGGAGGTTGGTGGCAAAAGTTTCAGTCCCGTCCATATCGGTGGCGTCGTCGGCCATCGAGGAGTCGCAGATTGCAACTGAGGCGGCGGTCGTGTTAGTGATGATTTCAGTGCCGTCTTCATTAACGGCGTTGTCAATGTCAGCGGCAGCGTTCACTGTGTTGTCGATCATGTCCCTTGTGTTCTCGTCGGGAGCACTCTCCTCAACGGAGACAGCGTAGCTGGTTTCGTTTTCGTCAGTGTCGACGGCGGCGTTCATTGTGTCATCGACCATCGTGTCCCCTCTGTTTTCGTCGGCAGAACTGCCCTCAACTGCGACATCATAGCTGGTTAGGTTTCCGTCGACACTTTCGTTAACGGTCGTGGCACTTGTTTTAGCTTCGCTGGCGACGCCGTCCGTGCTGGTGTAGTCTGTTGCACCTTTTTCCGCTGTGGGAATCTTGGGTGTCGGTGGCATCCTTTGAAGGGGCGCCTTCCTTGGGGGTCTTTTCGCTACGTTAAATGCAAACACGCTTGGCACAGTATGTTGTTTTAGGAACCGATGGCCACAAGCGATATTTGACAGGTAGTCTTTTTCTTGAAAATGTGCTGAACACACCTTCGTGAATTTCGAAATGGTGAAGTGCTTTCCCTCATCTCGTTTGATGGCAATCAACCATTTTCTTCGTAAAACAGGGTTGCTGGGGAAAGCAAAGAAAGACACCTGGAAAACAAAAATGATAACAGATGTTAACTTGGGCTCAGCGGAATGAAGCTCATGTTTCAAAGTAGCGGTGTAGCGCATTTTGAAGTTCTACGCATATACGCGAAACTTTTTCACGAAGCAGTAATCTCGCGTGCCTTATACTTCGTCTCAGCTTAGCATGGACTATTGTTGGCCGCACGTGCTATACTCCGTTTCACCTTATGTTGTACCGCAGCGAAGGCTGGAAGCGCGAGCTCATAGCGTTGACAGCTGCCCTTACTGCACGAGAGCTCGTGCCGCCGAGATCTGCCCCAGAGCGAGGAGCTCGCGCTTACAGCTTTTCCTGCGGTACAACATTAGGTGAAACAGAGCTTAAAAGCGACACGTCGGCGGCTGCGCGAGCGCCCGTGCAACGCAAGCGCCAGTTTAAGGCTACCGTCTCGCGCTAGCACAGCCTCTGGGGTCAGTCCATGCTATACTTCGTTTCACCTTATCTGCGACCGAAGCCAAAGCTAAAAGCGCGAGACCAGCGCTTTTTGCGTTTCTCCCCAGCTCGCGCGCTCGAGCAAAGCCTGAACGCACGGAGCTTTCGTGCTCGCGCTTCCAGCTTTGCCTTCGCTGGCACATAAGGTGCAACGAAGTATAAGATGAGACGATAGACTAATTAGCAAAACAAAACGTCTCACCTTGTTTCCGTGATCATCCCTTACGCCTCTCTGCTTACAGAGGGGCACGCAGCAATGAAGTGGCATCGTACGAGTAGAATCGAGCGAGGGCTACAGCTGCAGGAACACTCGCTGCGCACCCGCTTCCATCTGTCGCCCTATCAATGGCGGTCGGCGGTTGCCAGCGTGTTGCCAGCAGCGCCCGCGCGTTGTTTTGAAATCCTGCCGCTAGATGGCGTGGAATTTGTGGATCGGTCTATTGCAGACGAAGCGGCACCAGCGCTTCCCAGATGGGGATCGGGGGGAGGGGGGGATGTTTGGACCGGCACAGACTCAGCGGCGACTCCAACGAGTTTGGCGGGCCTCCGCTCCTCTGCCCCGATACTGCGGGCGTGCGTACCCGCGTCGCGTAGTACATGTGCAGCTTAGCGAACGTTTGGGGGGAATTTGTCTGTGCGCGGCAGACGTTTGAGCCTCCTGCATGGCCGTGGGGTTCCGTTTACGCGGCGCGGCTTGGCGGCTCCTCCTTTCGGTGTGTGTGTCTGTGTGTGGGGGGCCGGGGAAGGTGTCGTTTTGCCACTGTGCTATTCTGCCACGGGAGGGTTTCTCTTCGCGTTGATTGCATCTACGTGCGTCCGTGCGCCCATGTTTTTGTCTTTTGTAAGCGCGTGCGTGCGCGCACCCCTCGAGGAAACACAAATAAAACCGTCTTCCCGGAGCTTTTACGCGAGTACTGGTGTGACCCTAACTGGACTATACAATGTTTGTTTGCTCGCTCTCGCTTAATAATGCTTACAGGTATTCTATGATGCTGGTAATATGCGGCATACGCTCGTTTTTATCCGTCCACACGAAAAAGCGTGCGCCAGATGTGATCTGTCTCGGCCGCTTCCGGATTTTTTTCAAACGCTATTTAGCATCTAAGATCTCGGGAAGGCTTGACGCTATTCTAGAAAAATCACGGAAGTTTACGGGCTTGATCCATATGCCAGAGAATTATAATATGTTTAAAAATGTGAGGAAGCAGCCAATTTGCATCACGGTTTGTCGCCCACGTTTCAGCGCGCGGACATGTCCGTTGCAATAACAGGCGGAGAGGATTTTACGTGCTCTCAGGCGTTTAGGTGGGGGCTTCGCTTGCTGTTGCCGATAATAGTTTTCATCACAGTCGTGCATATTCCTGAGTTCTTGAATTCTAGAAATATGAACAGAGTTCTTCGATTTCCGTTGAACGTGAATATTGACTAAAGAGGTTTTGGTTTCTGTTTATTTGAGCAAAAGTCAGCTATTGGCACGATACTTGTGTGTAAAAGCCGGACCCCATCAGAAAATATGCGACGAACACGTGGCGAAACTTAATCCACTAAGCAGCCTAGCCTTACTCCGTGAACAGCGCTTCGAACGCGAAGGCGGAGTACGAGTGTTCAAAGATTCTTGATAAAATGACATAAATCTTTTCCAAGGGAGGAGACAGATAGTCCGTCCCGATTTCTGAATTTATCTCTTTTTTTATGCTAGCTAGTTTTGCATACGAACCATATCGGCCACATTTTGCTGGAGTGCTTTTCATTTGAAATCGAGACCAGTCTTCCTACATAAGCGCTTAGACATTCGTCTCCTCGTTATTTTCCTGAGCAAGTGACTAATTCAAAGGTCTGCTGAGTTTTTTCAACAGCGTCGGAGCAATACGAATGGCTCTCACTTCGATCGGAAGTGAGAGCCCATCACACAGGACCACGAGCAGACCGCGATTGCGTTGTGATCACCGTCATCCTGCTGTTGCAAGCAGGCTACCAATGAAAAACAAGGTGCGCGGTCGAGGTCGAAGTCAAATTCGAAGTAAGTGTTTATATACGACGTGCAAGTAGGGGTACCAAAACGTGTCTTCCGCGCTTGCGAACGTTATCGTGACCCATTGGAAAGAAGTAAATACGAAGAATTACACAACAATCAGCGGGAAACATAAAGGGCGCGCACAGAACGCGCGAAGACGAGACAGAAAAGCGCGCCCCGTCATTGGTCAAAACGAGGTGTAAATAGCGGTACGTCAGAGCGTCTGAGGGGTAAACAAACACACGAGGTGCGCAAAGAGCTGAATAAGCCTGTTATTTTTAAAACATGGAAAATTATTGAACCGGGCTTGCCGTGTTTTTTTTTACTTTTTCCATGCACGTCGCCGTGCTGTTCTGGGGCACGTATCGTCGGTTCACTCGAAGAGCTTTTACTTTCCCACGCTCTTTAGAGCCTGACATTGCACCTTTTTGTCAGATGAGCCGGCGATGTCCAGTTTTTCTGAGAGGCTGTGTTCCCCGTCTAGAAGTGTGGACGAGCTGTTTACCCGTCCTCCCATCTTGCATTTCCCACCAGACCTTGTTCCAAAATGACCCTTCTTTTGTAACAAAAACAAAATTAAGAACCTGCCTCTATTCATCTCAAAGACTATGTTTGATGTTCGCTGAAGGCGTCCTCACTGGCTCTGTCTGCTTGAAGAAATCACCGGTTATCAAGGGGAGCTGAAGGAGCGAAGACGACCTCTGTTTCCCTTCCCTTCGAGATTAGTTAGCTTGCTTCTCCTTGGCAACGTCGTTCTTTAATTTCACTACAAAAACGATAAACGGTAGGGAGTTCTTGTAGACGGTTTTTGTGCTCGGTAACGATACCCAATAACGATACTGTGCATGCACAAAGACGACAGAGGAGTATCGGGTATCCTTACAGGAATTATTGGAACAATGCACAAAACTCCCTAGTTTCTTAGACGTGTAAACAGGAAGTATAAGCACTTACTTAATTCGTCCCCAACACGCTCGTTTGTGATTAGTGCTTTTGTGTTTCAAGCTTGAGGCAACCTGTAGGTACAAAGTTTGACCTTGCCAAGTGTAGGGAAAAGTTCGCTGTTCGGGTTTTTCCTTTTACGTTCTTTGTCGACCCATCGTGACCTGTTCTTTTTCGTTACGGGTTACGTGTGGAGTCTGTCGGCTTTGGTTTTAAGGAGCCTTTTGGTTTTTGTTTTAAGGAGCATCTCTGTTACGCCAGACGCGCCACCACCGCGCCGTGACGTAACAGAGATAAGTTCATGTATAGGTGAATATGTTGCCGAAACTATGTTCTGGCTATACACGAATTAACGAAGTCATCTATGTTACGTCACGGCGCGGTGGTCGCGCGTCGGGCGTGACCACCGCGCCCGACGCGTGGTCGCGCGCGGCCATCAGCCCCAGAGCGGTCTGGGGCTGAAGGCGGAAGTCCCTATGTGAGACGTGTATTCTAGCGTTGTATTAAAAAAAAACTGACAAAAACTTGCCTTCTCGTCAAAACGCCGCGACTGGGGCTGTACCAAAAGAGTCGAGAAAGGTTTGAAGATCAGTTTTCATGTGCTCGGTTCGTCCGAGAACGTGAATATGTGGCGTGAAAATGGAAAACCAGTCGCCGTCGGACCAGGATTGCTTGGGCGGGAAGCCGTTTGGGTTAAATTCACGGATACTTGTTGTCATCAGATTTATTTGTTTTGTTCCGTCATGAAAGCGGGAATACCGCCAAGTTGTTGGGACCGCCTGCATGCGGACGTTCAGTGCGTCTTCCAAGATCGAACGGCCGCCTGATCGCTCGAACTGTCGTCTGCTCTTTCAAACGCTTCTGCTCGTCGTCTGCTCTTTTAGACGACACCGGCCCGTGTACCAAATGTTGGCCTGGTACTTGCTATAAGAAGTGAGTGCAGGCCTCAAAATACTTAACTTTGAAAATTGGTAAGCAGGCTCGATGTAAACAGTGGATACAAGGAGATGTTGATCGTTGTTACCAGTGACCATCAATGACTTGTTATGCCTCATTCACTTGGTCCGATTCTGCTTGCGATTTTCAGTATCGATGTTGAACATCTCAGCTACGGTTCACGCTGTTGTAACCCGAGCGACGTCATGACTGAAAATTGCGACCGAAATTGCATCATGCGAATCAGGCTTTAGCGTACCCTCTGCGGCGTCCACGCGGAATGAATCGCCGCATGTCACATTATTCACGCGAAGTTTTGTGGTGTAGCGAGCCTTGGTAATTTCGCTGAGGCTGCTCAAGTAGTCAGGCATCGCCCAGGAAGACGTAGAATCAACA